TTTTTGAGGGTGCCAATGATAGTTGAGACTGTAGCAACATTGGAGTCTGTGATGAGTATGTCATCTACATAGACAAGAAGCCATACACATGAAGACGATGTCTGTCTTATGTAGAGAGAGCAGTCAGATTTGGAATTTTGAAAACCAAGGGAGATAAGAGACTGCTTGAGTTTAGTGAACCATGCTCTTGGTGCTTGTTTGAGGCCATAAATTGATTTGTGTAGTTTACAAACAAGATGAGAATTGTGAGGATGTTCAAACCCCGGGGATTGATACATATAGAGCTCTTCATCAATGTCCCCATGTAGAAATGCATTGTTGAAATCTAGATGTTTAATGCACCAGCCATAAGACAAGGCTAGAGATAGGACTGCTCTAATTGTTGTTGGTTTAACCACAGGGCTAAATGTCTCATAGAAGTCAATACCTGCAGCTTAGCTATAGCCTTTGGCTACTAGCCTGGCCTTATGTCTGGCAATTGATCCATCAGCATGTTTCTTGATTTTGAAAAGCCATTTGCACCATATGATGGAACATCAAGTCTAGATTCTAGACTAAGCAGTATGGCATAGACCTCATTGAGGGTGTATGGCTCCACTCTAGATGTAACAGCCACCACTGCAGGGTTGTATTCATTGCCTAAGCCAACAAGGATGTAAAGTATCTAGTTTTGATCTGAAACTGGTTCACCTGCTATGCCAAGGGCATCACAGCAGGCCTTAACTTTGCATAGGAATTCTCTCATTGTGCTAGGACCATTTTTTAGGGTTTGGAGTTGCAGCTTGTGGTGCATTAGTCGTGCCTTTGAAAGTCCAGAGAAATTGGCTTCCAACGCTAGCCACACATCTTTGGATGTGTTCTTGCCTACCATCATAATAAGGAGATTTTCACTGAGTGAGGAAAGAAGCCATGATAGGAGCAGTTGGCCTTGTCTGAGCCATGCTGCATATGCAGGATTGAGAGTGGGCTGAGATGTGTTCTCAGATGAAATGAATTTCTGTGGTGGTTCATGATCGGCTGCAATGAAATTTTCCAAGCCATAGCCTATGATAGCACTATAGGTTTGCTGTTTCCAGAGGAGATAGTTTGAATCTGTGAGTTTGATGGAGATGAGTTGGTGTTGGGGTTGAATGAACGAAGGTGTGGTGGGATTTGGGGAGTTTGGTGTGCTGTCTGATGAGGTTAGAGATGCCATGGTATGTATAGAACAGTAGATCTGTAGATGCAGTGAGCTGAACACTCAAAAAACCTCAAGGCAATGGCTAGATCTGAGTAAAAGGGAGGTCCCAATGGCTAATAAATGCTCTTGATACCATGTTAAGAAACATAAAAATAGATCTGAGAAAATGATAAAACCAATAAAAATGAACATGCTGAAAGTGTGTTCTCACATTTTCATCAAATTGTGTAAGTTCTCTTTTCTGTGTACATATCCCTAGGGTTCCAGATATGGTAAGTTATATATATAAGACAATATAATCAAGATCCTATGGTCCACATTCCATCTACACTATTATATCATTAGGCTTTCTTGATGGAGATGTGGCAGGGTCTTTCTTGAATTCCATTGACCATACATTGCTCTTTTTGATGACATGGTCGAGGGCTGTTGTCTGTTTGTGGAGTGTGGCTTGTTTGTGAGTTTTGGACGTTTGCATGGAGTCCATATATGCTATCATCCTGCACGCATAATTGACACTATGATCGACAATCGTACCAGGCGATCGTTCTCTAAAGTTCAAGTCCGCAAGGTAGCCTCCCAGGCGTATTGGTGATCCCCTCCACTCCTGAGAACCTAGAGGTCTCCTTGTTGTATATAAAAATTTATGTGGACTCTAATTCCACACACTAAGGCCGAGAAAATGGATATTGGAAAAAGTCTTGTCCTATTGGGCCTGCAAACTCGAGAATGGAGCGGCCTAAGAAGCATCGTTGGCAAGACATGCCAATCTCTCTGTTTGACAATCGGTTCGTAAAAAATGTTGAGTCAATCTTGTATCTTCGCCTAGAAGAATGACGGTATCTTTTATGTGAACGCGGAACCATTGAAGCTTACTGATAAAGTACTCGCCCAATCTGTACCATCATCAAAAGTCGAGAATTTGCATGGACACATGTGTCGCCACCCTATACCCCTAGTTAATATAGATTGTACTTATACCTTTTTCGTGTATAAATACGACAACTCATTACCCTTACAAGAACACGACCACATGAAAACACCATATGCACAACTTATAATCTCAATATACATTTTTAGAGAATTCTATTATCCTAGCCGATATCATCTGCATATCGGCAAAATTAGTGTCCTTTTTCCTTGTTAGCTTCACTTTGGTTTTTCTTTATCATTTACATTACATCATCATTAATCTATTTTAGTCCCTTTAATGAAGATCCACAATCAGGGTTTCCAATTATATCTGCGGGATTTTTTATTTATGAATTACAAACATATGCATAATTCTTAACTTTACTTTTACACAAAAATCCAATTAGAACCGCACTTCCTTTTGTGCATTTTGCCTAATACGATCAAAGTCGAGTCGCAGTCGCCGCCATTGGCATGAGCGGCGCATTATATTGACATTTAAAATCCAAATAAAAAATGGTGAAATGGTAAAGAAAAATGGTGAGAGTGCATGAGAAATGATTGAGGAAAACTAATAATTATTTGTTTTCAAATGCAGAAAAGGTCAAGGGAAAATAGATAAAATGATAAAATAAATCAAGAGAGCCCGATATCACGGGATTGCCTAAGCTTTAGCATTTTCTTCAATTTCCAAAAAATGCCAAATTATTATTAAGTCAGCTTGCTTTTTTAGATTCTCCAACCAACGGCAATAATGCAAGAGCAATAATGGAATATATCTAAAGCTGATCCATGTAGTGCAATCACGCTACTCTAGAAACACTGAAACAATGGAATATATGTAATTTTTAATGCCTGTCAACAAATATTTAGATGCACATGGATGAGCTCGTACCCATAAACATAAAAAATAAGAAATCCGTGTAAAATATACTGAATATTCCGATCCTATTTGACAACTTCTTGTGTTTTGTATTTCAGGGTAAGGGTACAGTCTCGTTACGGAACCATTCTGTTAGAATTTATAACCGTTAAATGCAAATGTAGATTAGTGTAACATGTGCATCTAGCCGTTAAAAATCCAATGAAATGGTTCCGTAACGAGATTGTAGCATTTTCCTGTATTTCAATGTTTCAATTTTTTATGATTCAGAATAGTTCATGTAGATCGATCTACATGTTAACTTATAGTGCTTAGTAATATGTGTCGAACTCTAGTGTTTCGAAGTAGTCCATGTAGATTTGGATTCCATAGTAATTCTCTGTGTCGAATTCTGATGTTTTGGAGTAGTCCATATAAATTTAGATTCTACTGATATCTATTAGAACTTTTATAAATGTAAAATACTTGACTTAAATTATAAATATATTACGAAGTTAATAGTTTTTTTTTTTTATATATAATACATCAAATTAATCGTATTTTGGCGATCTTCGATTTGTTGTCCACACTGCATAATATAGCCATAGCTCAGTTAAACCTGATTAATGTGAAGTAAAAGAGGACGACAGATTTAAGGATAAGTCAAGTTGACCTTTTGAGACCAAGTGTATGAACAAGTAGGGGAAGCTTGAGCAGGTTGGTTGAACCTTAATCGCAACTGAAATTTCTAGGATGGAACTGGAGCAAGCTAAAGGGAAAAAGTAACAGCTAAATGGGTCATACACCTCGGCATCAGGCTTTGTTTATCGGTGACCCAATGGTTGGGTCACCAGGAAAAGACAAAAGAAAAATTAAAAAAAAAAAAAGAAAAATCAACAAAAAGGCATGACCCAAGTCACAATGTGACCAAAGGTCACAACCGGTTGGGAGAAAAGTTTGGTACACTTGTCCAACTTTTGTTGGACAAGTGTATTTTTTTAATAAGATAAAAAGTAATTTGTATTTTTAAGAGTTAATTTATATTAAAAATAAAAATAAAAAATATCAAAATTCGTATTTTTTCATTCTCTATAAATAGAGACCACATATGATATATTTTGTAACATAATTTTAATTTAGTAATGATAATTGATTTGTGATTTTATTCAAATTATTTGTAACTTGTTTAACAAATTTTATTTTTTGTTCTAATTTTATAATTATAAATTTTAATTGAGTTCGCAATTTTATTTTAAATTATAATTTTTTTAAAATAATTACGACTTTATTTATAATTTGTTAATTAATTTGTCACGCTTAAAATAATAACACAAATCAAATGTAGATAATACTTAATAAATAAATAAATAAAAATAAAATAAATATTTTAGGTTGGGTTGGGTTGGGGATAAAGATAAGTTGAGTTGTAAAGTTGGGTTGTGTAAGTAGATGAGTGAGAAATAATTTTTAATTGTTTAGGTTGGGTTGGGTTGGGTTGTTGATAA